GAGCGCTCAGGGCACTTGGAGCGCTTGGAGCCCTCGGACCACTTGGAGCACTCGGGCTGCTCAGAGCACTCGGAACGCTTGGAGCGCTCAGGGCACTTGGAGCGCTCAGAGCGCTTGGAGCACTCGGGGTGCTCGGACCGCTCAGACCGCTCGGGGCACTTGGAGCCTGGCACAGCGCTGAGAATCCCGAGGAGCCGGATTGTGCCACCCTGGAGCCAAGGAGAGGGTCGGAGCCCAGGGAAACAGCAGGGTCTGGGGCTGGAGAAGGGCCCAGAGGAAATCCCGCTGGGAAAAGGGGCAGGAAGGGGGGCCACCCGCCCCGGCCTGGTCATGGACCGGGAAGCTCCGCGTCCCCTGGGAGATCCTGGGATTAAACACGAGTTTGGAGCGAGGTGAGGGGCACGGAGCTGCCTCGGGGCACCCGCGGCCACGTGGGAGCAGGGAACGGCTTGGGGAATTCCGGGGGAATTCCAGGGATCCCATGGCGAATTGCAGGAGTTCTGTGGTGAGTTACAGGGATTTCATGCAAATTGCAGGAATTTCAGGCGAATTACAGGGATTGCATGGCGAATTGCAGGAATTCCATGGCGAGCTACAGGGATTTCATGCAAATTGCAGAAATTCCGTAGCAAACTGCAGGGATTTCATAGTGAATTGCAGGAATTCCATGGCGAGCTACAGGGATTTCATGCAAATTTCAGGAATTCCGTAGCAAATTGCAGGGATTTCATGGCAAATTGCAGGAAATCCGTAGCAAATTACAGGGATTTCATGGTGAATTGCAGGAATTCTGTAGCAAATTACAGCGATTTAATGGCAAATTGCAGGAATTTCAGGCGAATTACAGGGATTTCATAGTGAATTGCAGGAATTCCGTGGCAAATTACAGGGATTTCATGGCAAACTGCAGGAATTTCAGGCAAATTACAATGCACGAATTCCGTGGCAAGTTACAGGGATTTCATGGCGAATTGCAGGAATTCCATGGCAAATTACAGGGATTTCATGGCAAATTGCAGGAATTCTGTAGCAAATTACAGGGATTTAATGGCAAATTGCAGGAATTCTGTAGCAAATTACAGCGATTTAATGGTGAATTGCAGGAATTGCATGGCAAGCTACAGGGATTTCATGGTGAATTGCAGGAATG